TTTTTGTTTTGTTTTTTTTTTTTTTATGCCAAGTAATATAGGATGCCCCAGGTCTAAGGACATGGTTCAAAGCCCCTGTTCTGTGCAATGCCTTCACATTACTGAATAGGAATAATCAGTCTGTGAAGAATACCACAGCAGACTATATTGTTAGCTTGTATATTCAATGTGGACCATACACAAAGGTTTGGGTTTGGGATTTCTGCATTATGAGAACTGCAATACTCATTTTTTCCCTCTTTTTTAAGAAAACCAGACTCTGTGATGATGTTACTTTGTACAGTAGCTTAAAAAGATGTGACGCTGTAGAGTGTGGACAGGCTGTGGCTCGATCCATCCTTAACTTCCACTGGTAGGAAGGAGCTAGAAGCTTGAGTGAAACGGTGGGGTTACCATCCATGTGTTTGTCTAACCTCACCTGGGATGGCTTCCAGTCCTTCAGTACAAAATTCCAGGTGATGCCTTTATTCTTCCCTTTATTCTCAGTCACACCCCTTTCCCCCCCACATCCAAGCTGATGTTGAGAAAGGGGCTCAGCTTTGCATTTCTGTTAAGTCACAACTATGTCACTTGTAGGCTAGAGCTAATGCTGCAGGCTGTCTTGGAACATCAATGGGAAATTTCAATCACAAGTCATTTGACCCTCTGCTAAATGAGTTGAGCTGTGTCAGCAGTAACTCAGGATTCAGGTCTGCATTTGAATCTTAAAGCAGCTAAGCTTGTTCTTAATTTTGAGCATATGAGTGATCTCATAGATTCACAAAAAAAGGCAGTACACATGGTTACAGTCCTCTTTGGTAACCCTAAATGGGACTGGATCCAGCAGCTTGCTGAAGGCATCTTTCAGCTCAGCTGGGGTGCTCTCAGTAGCAAGACTTCATCCTTCCAAATTTATAGGTGAGCTTCTTTTCCGATTTCTTGGCACTCTGATGCTTGCTACACCTGCTCCAGTGTGGTGCCTCTGTCTTAGTTCAGTGTTCTGCATTACAGTGCTGGAATGCTAAGGCATTATTCCAGCTCATACTGTCAGAATATGAAGGAGAAAGCATGGATCTGTTACTTCCAAGCTGGAGCCTAGTTACAGTATTGCAGCTTCACTGTTGATCCAAAAACATTGGTTCTGGAGGTATTTTTTATAAGCTTTGATGAGCTGCCTGGATAGGGCTAGGATTAAGTGCAGAGTGTGTATGGTGAAGAGTGATAGAGAAAAAAGTTGTGATGTCTGTCTGGAAGGAGTCCTACAAGGGTATCTTCTGGGATAACCAGAGTAGCAGTGTACTAAGGGTTAAATGAGCTGAACATGCTTTTTGGCTGACTGATTGAGGAGGTTGTTTCTAGATGTTGAAATCGAGAGAGGAGGGGAATTTCCAGAGGGATTGAAATTATTTACTTATATGTTCAGTTTTGAGGAGTAAGCAAAACTAAGGTGTTTGTTTGTTTATTGGTGTGTCTTAATATTCCTTTTTATATGTTTCTACAACAATTAGTAAAAACGAAAGCAAAACCTTACTTACTCTGTAGTTCTGAAATGTTGATGTAAATATTATGCTAATATATACAGGGTTCCTTTTCTTCTAGGACTGTTTGTATGTAGCCAAGCTTATTGTGCATGTGAATACAATTTACGCATTTTATGCTGTTTGCAAATAACTTATTCTCTACTCACAGATGTATGTAAAATCAGGCATGGAGATAAGTGGCATTATAAAGCAAAAACAATAGCTACGTTTGTGTTAGCCTATAGGCAGCAGGATCCTGTGATACTTGGAATAATAAAAGCACAGTTTATAAAAATAGATGTTCAGGAAAATATAGCTTGTTTAGGATTGCACTGGCCTCTAAAGAGCTGCTCTTGTTTTCTGTATGCCAGAGAAAAGTGGTATGAATTAAAGGAAAATACTTTTCCATTATTTTGCCATGCTGGTATTGCCCAGTGGGTCGTTTGCTATCACTGTGTACTGCTAAAGAAGTAATGAAAAATTTCCTTTAAATAACAATAGTTTGAGTGCATAACCTTTATAAGGTCAGATATAAAAGCTCACTAAAACCTCTTCACTCCCTTTTCTTTGACTTCAGTCATCATGTTGTGGTTAGATGTTTCTTTTCTTGTAAAAGGAAGGTATCTTTTGACTTGATTTATAGATTCGTCAGTGGTTTTGGAGAGGGGGGGTATGGGAGGATGGAAAAGGCTGCTATATAGTTTTATATTGCTACATCACCATGCTGCAAAATTCATAAAACAGATTTTGAATGCAACAGTTTGTTCCTGCAGCGTTGTCAGATGAGGAGGAACTTCATGTTCCCATAAAGTGTGACTGCTCTAAGCAGGGTTTGTGCGGATCCCTTTGGGATCAAATCTGCTATGTTGCTGCCATCTCTTAAATGATATTAAAGCATAATGATTAGTTTTGCCTTGGGGATTTTCTTGAGGTTTTTTTAAAGTAAAAAGTAAGAAAAGTTTTCTTTACAGTTTTTAGTAAGTTTCCTGCCATAGCTTTTGGTTCTTGTGCATTTAGTGTGCCACTTGGTATTGTAGCATCTATTAATGTTTTACAGAACAATGAATGACCTGGCACTAGTGGAAGAATGTGCCAGTTCCCAAACTTGAAAAATTTGTCTTACGGTGGCTGTACCTCCAGTTTTTCTTGCACTTCATGAGCTTACTAGGTATGCTGCATCTCTAACACTTCATTTATCCTGATTTTACATTGACGCTGTTAATTTTTACTGACCTTAGACAGTTACTGAACTCTTTGTTCGTACATGTGGCTTTAATTGTTGTAGCGGAGATGATGGTAAGACCTGGCTGTATTCCGGCTCTGGTTCTCCCTGGACAATTAGCTTAACCCCCGTTTGAAAATAAATCTCCATTTGGAAGCTGGGGAGGTTCTCATATTTACCTGGTTGATCCTTTGGAGTGAAATTTCTCTTCAGTGATTAGAGGGAGTGGCTTAAAATGTTATTATTTCATCCTGTTGGAGTGTTACAATTCATTTCTAGGCAGTAACCAAAACAGAGATAAATTTCCATACCTCTCTTGTCTTATGAAAGAGTTGGCATGTCCCTATTGACACAGATGGACCAATCACTGTCTGCAGGAAATATGAAACCCTACATTATATGGCTATGTATTTTCAGGAGGACATATAGGACAATAGGAGTTTGGGATGGGACAAGTTGGTTTTAGTCCCACTGTGCTGGCATGTGTGTATAACTTCTTAATGGCGTTTTTACCTTTTAAAAGACAAGGCCAAATAATTATAATAAGGGAGGTTACCCAGGATTATATGGCTGTGAGTAAGGCTTTTCGTGCTGCAGCCCTGCTGAAATACAGAGACAGCCTTGTGTTAACTATTCATCCTGCAAAATGGCAAGGCCTGAGGTTGAACAGTCATGGTTCCCAAAGCACATCCTTTGTTCATGCCTGTAGCTCTCATTAATGCAAATATTCTCTGGTTAGGGTTGTGGCTACTCTTACAAATCCTTCAACGGCTATTTAAAGTGTGCTGTGGAAGTTGGGGAGGTTCTCCTGTTTGCATAATCTCGTGTTTCCTGATTTCTTAGATGGGTAGGATCTAGTGACTTAAATGCTTGAATGCTCTGCCATCACTGCTTAGGAATTTGGGAATACCACAATCTATATGGGAAAAACAGCTGTTACGTTTCCTAGAGTGAAGGAGTGTGAGCCTGTGACATGATCCTCCCTAATTAAATTGCTTGGCACTGGGGAGAGGAAGATGCCCTTCATTTTTTTTAGTATCAGCCTACTGCAAAAACAAAACAAAGGTAAACCTCCTGCGCAGAGGCAGATGTTAATCCTCACCAGTGGCACTAAAGTCGCCCAAAGGCTTTCCTGGGGGGCTCAGCGTGGATGGGTGCATGCTAGACTTCTGCCCTTCGTTCTTCTGTCACAGCAGCCCTTAACCAAAGGCACTGTAAAGAGTTTTGATCAGAACACTAGATATCACACATTTTGCTTCCTTAAAAACATGTGGATTTAAATTCCTAGGCACCAATGTGTACTCTGCTAGGTTCCTAATTTTAGACACCTGTTTCTGTTATTCTTCTGAAAGGGTAGATTTTTCTATTAGTGTATTTGCCACCTTAATTGTATAGAAAAGATGACTTTTTGTGCTTGGCCTTTTCCCCCAGAAGTGATAGAGCACACCTCTTTGGAAGCTCCTGTTAACCCTGGTTGCCTTTGACACCGATGATTAAATAAAATCGTGGGAGCTGTAGGCATGCATCCCTCCAGTGAAGCTGTTTACATTCCATAGTTTGGGATTTTTTTCTTTTCTTTGCTATTGTACTGTGCAGTTTTTTGCCTGTTTTAATTTGCCATGACGTGGTCAGTGCTGTTTCCTTCCGGCTGCTTGCGAGCCTGTGCTAGAGATAAGGATACGTTTACAATGCATTTTTAACAAGAGGCTGAAGATCTGCTTCGTGTAGGAACTCGGAGACTCTCTGGATTATGCAAAAATTTATTTACTGGTTTCATCTGTTTGACCCTGGGAATCAAGATCTAGAGCGTTTTATTTGCAAAGTAACAACTTTGCTAAATTTGAACTGTTTGTGAAGAAGAAAGGTGAGGTACTTGAGAAATCCTACAGCTTAGTAGGTCGGTCTGGGTTTTTGTTTTTACTTTGAATATACCTTTAAGATGAGAGTGGCTAATGAATGTGAAATCTGCATGTATGAATCAAATGAAAAGATGGATTCTCTTTGTTAACTTCTAAACCTTTTTCTTAGTCTCGTGCTTTCAGTACAAAACACTTTGAAACTGATGTCTTACTTCCTGGAACAGTTCTATTTTTAAGGGAATGAAAATTCGCACGTATTAATCAGTAGAAGTAAGACCTCTGAAGGTAGGAAGGTGTCTGACTTGTTGGAGCCAGATAGAACAGTTACAGTTCAGAGCAAGCTTGATTGTGACTGCTACTCTTTCACATAGCTAAAGCAATAATTCCTTCATTATAACTTCTTTTTTTATTTCCCTTCACAGTGATAAAGGCTATAAAGGTGGGAAGAACAACTGAGAAAAGGATTTTCCTTTGTTTATTTCCCTTTGAGAAGAGAAGAACCCGGGAACACCGATGAGCTAAGAAACAGGAGCACTGACACTTGATTCATTTTGTGACCCTGCCTTTCTGCTCAGCTGGACCCTGCTGACACTCTGTTCTTTCACATTCAAGAACGATTTTCTTTGTATGTGGAACTGTGACCTGGGAATGCGTTATTATGGCAGCAGTTGTACAGCAGAATGAGCTTGTGTTTGAATTTGCCAGCAACGTCATGGAGGATGAGCAGCAGGTATGGGACGGTGTAAGAAACCATGTTTGATATCGGTGCTAGGAATATTAGGATAACATAAGGAAAAATGGTGGTGTAAAACACAGAAAAAGCAAACATTGAGGTCATTATTGTTGCAGCAGATCTTTGTGCTGTTTCAACAGCTTCCTGTAGCTTCCTGTAACTTGCATGGGCAGAACAGAAATTGCTTGAAATGTTACAACCTCTGCGGTATTACAGAGACATCCTCCTCCAAAAATGTTTTTCCTGTGTTGCTGATTCACACCAGTAGAATCCATCCATTTGAGATGCAGAATTTCCCGAATTCTGGTATTTGACAGTAGCTTTAACTTCCCGAGCGTACTAGGATGAAATTCTGAGTAAAAGTAAGTTATGCCACAGATGACAAGAAGGAGCAGTAGGTACCTGCTCGCTGCTTTTTACTGTGTGCTGGCTATTCAGAAGTAAGCTTCAAAGTTTTTTGGTTTTTTGGGGTTTTTTGTTTGTTTGTTTTGTTTTTTTTGCACTGCAGGGAAAATGTCGTGTTTCTGTCTGAGGAGGCTCTCAGTTAGGTGTTGATTATCTAAACCACATCCTGAGTTTTGTGGGCTTCAGTGAAGGATTTCTATTGTAAAAATCAGGCAGCTCCTCTGTAGGTGGAGGGTAATAGTAGAGGTTTAACAAGAAATTAGGTGTCTGGATACTGTGGAGTTCTTAAAAGGTCGAGAAGTGCTGTGACAAACTGTTACTCTTTTTGGGTATGTGAAAAGCATTTATCTTCTTCTCTTTCAAAAACACTTTTGGCTTTATAATCTCACCTCTGAATTGTCTATATGGCCTAATATCTGGCTGTGTTCCTGCTGCCAGAGTCATGGGATCATTTCAATGAACTGAGCGTTGTCTGTCTAAAGTGCTAACTCAGTTTTGGGTGGAACTAGTAATGTAACTTCCTTCCCTGTGTTTTTCCAGAGCTTGTGGTAGCCTGGGGATTTAGATATGGGAATTGCACAAACATTTATTACCTCTGTTTGTTGTTCATTGCTGGCTTTACTTTACAAGCCAGTGGGAGAGGGGAGAGTTGAGATGGGAGGGCTACTTCAGTGGGGTGTCTGGAAGGGGCAGTGGAAGCAAATGTGGCTTTGTTCAGTGCAGCTATGCATTCTGCCTCATGCAGTTTCTTCAGCTGCTCACCTGAAAAACTTTAAAAATGCTGAAGAGCATTCAACAAGGCAGTAAAACCTCCCTAAACAGAGCTTTCTCCAGCTTCAGAGCAAACTCAGCCTTAGCATTTGTCTCATAAACCAATCAAATCCTACTCCAGATAAAGCCTAAGGGAAGAAGGCATCCTGTAGAATACCCTAAAGGTCACAAAATCGAAGACGTGAAAGGCCAAAGAGAGAGAGTGCAAAACAGAAGGTCCATCACTGCAAACAGGCGGGGTGCAAGCTCCTCTTAAAGCCCTGAGTTGACTTAGTGCAGATGTCAAAGAGGCAGGCAGCAAGGTAGCTGGCTGCACAAAAGTAGATCTTAAATACTCAGCTGTAGAAAGAGTCCTGCATAGGGAAGGATCTGAGAAGACAGAGCGAGATTTAGCTCAGAGAAGAATTTATAGTACAGCATTAACCTAAAAAGATTGCTTATACCTGGTTATTGTGCTTCTTACAACACAGGAACTACTGCTTCTAAAGCTTTTAAATTCTGGGCAGATTACTTCTAAATACAACTAATGGATGGATAACTGTTCTGCCAATGACCAGGCCCAACAAAAATGATACAGCCAGCAGGAAGATGAACCAATACACAGACTGTATTGTAAACAAAAAGAACATTCCATGAATGATCGCTGGGGGTACAAACAGATCAATCAGCTGGTACATAATTGATGCCACCCCCAATGATCCCACAAAAGATGTGACTCAGCCCACAAGAAGTGGTACAAACAGTGAGCTGAGGTTGCCCACAGTTGGCATGGGGAACAGCCAGACCAGAGAGCTAAACATATAAGAAAAAGGTGCCCACATGGCGACTCTCACCCGATCCGCCCGCGCTCACAAAGGTCTAAACAGACTGGGGCCCAGCTCCAGGGAGAGTCAGGAGGTCTGTCCTGAACCAGGAATCTCTGGGGAGTGCACTCCACAGACACTCCTGACTCCCTGCCAGTGGTCCCAGCTTTTATCCCCAAGCAGACACCTGACCTTTGTCAACTCACTGCGGGACCCCTGGGGCTCATTTCCCTTCTGGCTCTCCCTGCAGGGCCGGCCACCCCCTGGGGGGGAGCTATAAGGCAAACTCACCACCTCTTTCTGAAGGGCTGTGGGAATCACCCATATGGCAACCTTAATTCGGGGCTCGGGGTTCAGACCCCAGCGTTTCAATAACACGCTTCGAGTACTCCACAAAAGCTGTAGCTCTGGAAGTGCTGTGTTGGTCAAAATAATTTTTTGAGCTTCATCAGTATACAAGAGGGATGTATGTCTATGGAGGTGTTATTTAACTGATCTGTGGCACATTATTTCTGCAATGCCCCCAAAATCTGGCATTGCAAGAACTCTGGTACTTCTCTTCTTGTCGCAGCTTTGCCTGGAGGCCTGTTGTGCCAAGAGCTGTCAGGACATGGAACAGCTGCGGGGAGAGGTTCAGGGTCTAGATGGCAGCTACACTCAGTATTTCAGGGAAGTCATAATTCATGGCTATTTTTTCTATTTTTTTAAGTCTTGGTTAAACAACGATAAATTATGAACAGTCCATTTGCAAATGTAAGCACTCAGACAGTGGCAGATACCAGGGGGAGGGCCTCAATCATGTGGCCCTGTGTGAATGGGAAAGGCTCTCTTGCCGGTTTTATCCTTTTCAATTTAGAAAATAGGATTATATACATTTCGTTTTTATCTTGGAGGGTTCATTTATCACATTGTGCACGTACGGTGAGGAAGAAATAGGATGAAATTATCCTCTTAATTTTGAGATGGGAACAAGCAGCTTGCACTAATGCTGCTGATAAGCTGACTGTCTGCTTTTATATGCTAGAGGTTCTGGTTAAATGGTTTGCTCTTTTTTTAATCTTCTGGTGTTTTTTTTGGGTGGTATTTTTTTCTTTTTCTTTTTCTTTTTTTTTTTTCAGAGACTGCAAACATGAAACTTCAGGTAGTTACAGTTAACATGATATTTGATCAGGACATTCTTGATTTTAAGGAGCTGAGTAGAAGCAGCCACAGAGGTTGGATCCATACTAGAATGTTTGAATTGGTGCCAGGGACACACTAAATCATCACAACCATTAAATTGCTAGCAGGGCCCCCAGCATGACTGCTCTGTGCCAACAGGCACTCTCCCAGGTGGCTCTGAAGCATGTAGTAACCTGTGCCCAAAGACACCTTCTGTATCTCTGAGTGATGTTTCTCTCTTCCCTTCTTCTGAGGAAGAGGGGTCCAAGCCCTTCAGTTGGGCTATGACTTCCACACCGTCTTCTCATGTCTTGGATTGCTCTTCCATGTTCCTTGGTGTTGTCATAGGCTTTTTGAAACATTAACTCGCCTAGTCAAAGCCAAAGGTCTAAATTTTTTGGCTCTTTGGAGCTCCTGGAGAATGTCCTCCCATTATCTTCTTGCAGTTTGATGAAGACTTTAATCAAATGATTATGAGGCCTGGAATAAGGTTGTCTCCCCAGGAAAGCAAGCAGCAAATACCGGCTGGGCGATGAGTGGATTGAACACAGCTCTGCGGAGAAGGAGTCGGGGGTGTTGGTGGATGAAATACTGAACATGAGCCAGCAATGAGTGCTTGCAGCGCAGAGCTGCATCATAAAAAGTGTGACCAGCAGGTCCAGGGAGGTGATTCTGCCCACTCTCGTAAGACCTGGCGTACTGTGTTCAGCTCTGAGGTCTCCAGTGTGAGACAGACACAGACTTATTGAAGTGGGTCCAGAGAAGGGCCACAAAAGTTGTCAGGGAGCTGAAATACCTCTCCTAGAGATACAGGCTGAGAGAGCAGAGGTTGTTCAACCTGGGGAAAAGAAGGCTCCAGGGAGACCTTATTGTGGTCTTTCAGTACTTTAAGGGGGCCTACAGAAAAGTTAGGGAGGGACACTTGTCAGGGATGTAGTGATAGGACGAGGGGTAACAGTTTTAAACTGAAAGAGGGTAGATTTAGATTAGGTATTAGGAAGAAATTCTTTACTATGAGGGTGCTGAGACACTGTAACAGGTTGCCCAGAGAAGTTGTGGATCCCTGGAGTTGTTCAAGGCCAGACTGGATGGGGGCTTGCACAACCTGGTCTAGTGGGAGGTGTCCCTGCCCATGGCCAGTGGGTTGGAACTGGGTGATTTTTAAGGTCCTTTCCAACCCAAACCATTCTATGATTTATCTGCTTCCAGCATTCCTCTGTGAAACTTGGTCATTTCTCAGATGCTGGCCATGGGAATGCCTTTAAAGTCAAGAGGCTGCCTCTGCTGTTGGAACAGGAACCTTCTGCAAGAAAAAAACTGAAGCCCATTTTCTAGTCACCAAGGTCACTTTGCCTAGTTTCATTTAGGGTGTTGTTTTTGTTATATTTTTTTTTAGTAAGTAGCTAACTGTTATTGCAAGCCTGTATTCTCTTGCTCTGTTTAAAAAAAAAAAAAAATTGTTTTCACTGAGGTTTCTTTCTCTCTTTTTTTTTTTCCATGTAGCTTTTCCCCGCTTCTATCTATTGCATGCCTTTCTTCCCACCATTCACTTGCCCAAAATTTTTTCCACACCACTTCAATGTAGTCACTGTATTCCTGGGACAAATTTTCTTCCTTAGAGGACTTACAGTATAAGAACACAGTACCTCCAGAGCAGAAGAAATCCCTTTCTTTGTTTTCCATTTCCACAACCAGGATGGTGTTTAGAACTTCTGTCAGTTGGTGACAGCTGATGATAAAATTCTCAGAGGAAAAAAAAGAAACACCTTGTCAGGATGTCAAATGCCCAAGAAAAACTGGAGAGCCAGAAGGAAGATTGCTGCCTTTGGCTCCTGGAGGAAGGCAGGGTTCAGTTTTCAGAGGTTGTGGAGCATGACCGATGCCTTCAGGGACTTGCTCACAGGGTCTTCCATGAACTTCAGCATCTGGCTGAAGCTTTGCACTCCTCCACGTTTTTAAAGGTCAGTCTGCTGGCTTCTAGATAATATACAGTGAGGAATTCTGCAGTTCTAAATGTGTACAAAGCTATTCCTGTATCTTACAACAACAAAGCTACAGGAAACTTTAGCTTGGCTCTCTGTTGGGGTTCAGGCACTTTCAATGAAATGAAGAACACAGAAGTACTGAGGTGAGATTTTACCTCAACAGTCGTTTATACATCAGCGTGCATCAATAGTAGCTTTTAAAATTGAATTAAATGCTTGTTAGTTAAACCATAACCAACTGCAAATATTATACAAAAAAGTGTTGATGGTTTCTGCAAAAACATATTTCAAATTAGATTTGTTTGCAGCTGCACAAATGCTTTTCTCTCTCAAAACATGTTAGATATTTGTTCAAGCTTTTCCTTTTCACAGCTGTGGCAGGGAAGAAAATCCACGTGTTGTATCTCCATTAGGTATGAGTTGGAAGCAGGTGTAAGAATGGTTTTAAAATAAATGGATACAAAAAGTGATACTTACTCTGACTCTTCCAGTTCAAAACTGTTATTAAAGAAAACCACATTTAAAGTGTGTTACTACGAGCCAATGCTTTTCTGTTTGTCTCTTGTCTTTTGGAAGCACAGTGTGTCAGCACTGTGACCCTCCTCAGAGGGTCTGGTGCCAAGTTCAAGTGATGAGGTATTCCCCTGTCATGGGGGTGTCTCTGCCTGTGGAGAGATGTGGTGACCATGTCAAAGTATATGTATGATGGCTGTTTCTTGACACGGTCAACATGGAGCTTAACCTTGCAGAGTAGATCACATCTGATCACAGGGGTCAAACCAACTGCTGCTGACATGCATGATGGCAGCCCTCTTCACTACCACAGGAAACATTTTGGTCAACAGTGAAGCATGTTTCAGTAACACATAGATGCTTGGGTTTTTGTAGTTCGGTTTCATGGCAGAGTGACAAGTAGAGTGTAATAGAAATAGGGCTTTGAGAAACTGAGCTGAAAACTTGTGGCAATTGGTTGTTTTTATCCGTGCTTCATTTATCATTCTGGAACAGTTTTTTTATGACTTGTCCCCACCAAAGAATAACAGCAGTGCTGGAGGTGGTTTTGCCTCTTGGAGGCCAAGTCAGTGATGTGAGCGTCAGTCATTGGAGAAGGATGGTGCCAAGCCAGAGAAATTTTTTTCTATGCAGAAGAAGCTAACGTGAGGCTTATCCTAAGTATGGGCAACCTGATACGTTGCTGAAGACACTGTAGCTACTGAGCTGGTGCAAGGGTGGAAGCGGGGAGGAAGGAGCACCTTGTGTTGAAGATGTAGCAAGGAGGCAGCTGGCCATTTGGTGATGAGCGTGTAGGAGATGGATGCCTACTTCAGAAACAGACACCTCAATGCCTCCACTTTTTTATAGTCAATGGGGAGGAATGTGTATTTTTATGGCTTGTCTCATCCTACCGTAGCACAGGAGCCTAAAACTGGGCAGGGAAATTGTGCCCTAGAAATCCCTGTTTCATTCTGTTGGCTCTGAAGGAAGCCTGGGGTTCCTAGCTTGAGCCCAAATGCCTGCACCGCAGCTGTCTGAAGGTAGGTGAGATGAACCATAGGGCCATAGTGTCTATGAACTAGAGCAGGATGAGAAGACTTAAGTCTTCTTACTTGCATCTTCCCTACCTAAAAATCCAGTAGAATACTGAACAGGTACTTGCAAAGCATGTAGTCGTGCTTGGAGGTCACAGGAGCCTGACTGGAGTGTTGTATGTAAACCTTTTTCATATACTTTTTTTTTAATGTAGTTACGTGTATGAGTGTACAATATATGTAACTTACACTCCAGAAGTTATGTACTGTGGCATATTACTGAAATTAAGGTATTTAAACTATTTTTAGGACAGGAATTGTATCTCACTGATGAGGCTGTAATGGACCATTTTCCTTCTAGTTTATGGAACATACGGTTGAAAAGTAAATCCTTTTTAAATGCATACAGTATTATATTTTTCTTCTCTCTTTAAAGCACTTTGTCTTTTTTGTTGACATAGCTTTTATTTAATTAGATCTATTTATTTATTCTTGCTTGGAAGCAAATAGAATCAGGGATGTTTGGGTCAGCAAAAAGGCAGAATGCACAGTGTGAGCACACTTCCTTCTGAGGAATGGCAGGTACCTTTTTGGCCACCATTGACTCCTGGTTTCTCAGCCCCAACAAGAAGAAACCTTGGACAGAGGTGGCCACAAAGGCGTGGTGTAGAAGCTGTCCCATTGCTTGGCTAGATATACACCCATACTCTGGCAATGTGATTGCACAAGAGGGCTTTGACCGGCCTGACCTTCGCTCATTTGTATTGATCTCCTACCATGTTGTTCCGTTTTGAAGCTTGTATTTGGCAGAGTAGGTGACTTCTTTGTTGGTCCTTTAGCTTTTGATTTTGTTGGAGCTTTTTTGTTTAGCGGACTGTCCATGACAGAAGCCCATAGAAATACTGATTTTGCTGCTTAATTTCTTCCTTTTTTTCCTGATTGCCCTTTACCTCAGTTGTTGCTGAGACGTGTTTTACAAAATACAGAGCCATTTGAAGTGGTAATTACTGCATTTTAGAACTTGTGATTGCACTTTCTTCTTTCAGTACTAATGCTCCAGACTCTTCCATAGGAGAGGCTTACTCCCACAGCTGTTACCTCTACTGAGCCAATAGCTCTGATACCATTTTCTCTTGGTGGTGATGTGCATAGTGGCAAGGCTGTGAGACATGAGCAATCCCTGAGCAAGCTCATAATCATATGGTTTGTTTTTTTTTTTTCTTGTGTGGTTAAATAAAAACACTGCTTGATCTATGCATATCTGTGCTCTTCTGTGGAGGATGAGACCAAACGTATATATCCTGGTTTTCTCAGAAACATGTTTTAGCAACTTTTTTGGTTTGTTTTCTTGTCTTTAAGCTTGCCACATTCATAATATGATATATTTTTATAGTGAGAGAACCTTAGAGTTACACAAGACTTTCTTTGAACTTGCTCTGCTATCATCAGCTATGACTTTCTTCCTGCAAATGGCATGTTAAAAGACTTGCTTTGGAAAATACTGTGTCTGTAGTAAATGGTATTTTCTGAAAACCTTTTCCTGTTGAATGGTTGCTTTTTCAGAGAGTGTACATGTTGTTGTTGTTGTTGTTTATTTATTTATTATTACTGGTCAGATTGATTCCTGTTTTCCCAGCTGCCTCTTTTCTTCTGTATCTAATGCAAAATAACTGTTGAGACAGGAAGATGATGTCTGAAAGCCAGTTTAGGAAGAAAAGATGGGGAGAAATAACATCAAGTGACTAAAGGCCACTGGGAGAGAGGAAGTATTATGGCATGTGTATTGAGTATGCCCTGTTACATCCCTTACTCTTGTAGCTGGTGTCCCCTACAATAGTGATCTTCAACTAGTGTCTTATGAGAAATGTGCCTGTGAGAGCTTCGTCCACAGCAAGTTGCTTGCCCAGTATTATTGCCAGCAAAGTTCAGCATTTACTGTGCTGTGCCACTCCTCTGTATTGGCAGCTTTTGTGCTGCAAAATAATGTCATCAAAGTCTGGTATCAGCTACTAAGAGTAAAATAAAAATATTAGATACCAGAGGGATATTCAGCCTCTGGCCCATAGTTGAACACTGCTTGGGTTTGTGTGTTAAAAATCATCTCATTCTTTAGTACTTCCTCCTGATGGTCTAATATTCAATTCACGTAGTATAGGTCTGATGAAGACTTACTGATTAATCTGTAAGTGGTTAGATGCATGCAGTCTAACTGCCTTTTATTTTAATTTTCTTTTTTTCTATCCCCCCAGCTTGGTGATCCCTCTATTTTCCCTGCTGTCATTGTGGAGCATGTTCCTAGTGCAGACCTCCTGCATAACTACTCGGGTTTAACCTGCGTGGATGAACCTAGTGACATGATCACCGAGAGCTCTCTGGACGTCGCAGAAGAGCAGATCATAGAAGATGATGATATCACTCTCACAGGTTGGCAATAAAACCATTTCTGTGCCATGTTTTTGCACCAAGGTTGCTGTGGCTAATGGTGGAAGAAAGCTTAATGACAATAACAGCAGGAAATTATAGTAGTACTTAACGCTGTTAATTCAGTACAAGACAGAGAAAATGGCATTAATACTGTTAGCAGGTGGCTTGCAGTCCCAGCTGCACAGCTGATACTGCTGAGGAGTTTCATCCATCAACAGATTTAAGACAAAGTCCTGCTCAGAGTACCAACAAGATTTTTCTTTGCTCTCCATAGGATTTGTTTGCTCTTATTTAATGGTTGGTATGTTCCTAAGTGAGCATACATACCAAAAAGCAGGAATATGCAACTTGAGTAGGTAGATCGACTGCTTTTAGCTTCCTGAGGGTATACAACTAGCCATGAAATGTGCACATTAGCATGACTTACTGGTGTAACTCTGTCAGCATAGTATTAATTTTGGACTTCTAATAAAATACAGGTGTTCTGTGTTAATTCTGTTAGGAAATGTAGCCCCAAAGAAGAAAACAATTATCAAGAGGAAAGCTCAAAGATACATATTTATTTAAAAAAACCAAAAACAACAACAACAAAAAAAACACCTTACTGAATGCATTTATTTGAAGCATTTTTGCAGAACAAGTCTGAAGGGTGGGGTAGGTACTTCACAGAGAGAGGTTCTGGTTTTGTGTCTTCTTTCAGCCATTAGGCTCCACACCTGGATTATCTCCAGGGCTGGAGAGAGCTTGCTGGTTTCGGTTGTGCTTTTGACATTATTTCCAAAGGCATACTCTGATACAATCTTTTACCACCAAAAGCAAAACAAAAACTCAGCAAAACTTGACATGAGGAACTGTTCACAGAGTAAATTGACATGAGCTGTTGTCAGTAAATGGTTTTATCTGATAAAAATGACTCCTTTTTTTTCCTCAGTAGTGAATTATCTGTGAACAGACTGTGACCATACAAATAAGTTAGCTGATTATTCAAGAAGGTTTTACATACTTAAACATTATTTCAAGTTGAGACCTCTTGCCAACTATTCACTTGCTATTCATATTAATTATTCACACTGCAACTGGCATTTCCTCAGTGTGCTACTTAAGCTCCACTTAATGTGGCTGTGTGAATTTTTCGTAGCGGATCATTTTTATGAATCCATATTCGCTGTAATATGTTGTGTGTGAATTTTTACTTGCATGAGTAATTGCGAAACTCCACTTTTGTGAATGCTCATGTTAACATTTTTTTTTTTTTGATGGTGGTCACATGAGAAGGGTTTGCAGATTGCTGCCAAAGACTGAAAATATGCAATCCATGTAACCAATGGTGTCCGAGGGTTTCTGGGATACTTTGGAGGCAGACAAGTACTGTATTGTTCCCATCATCCATTGTAGCTCAAGCAATCTGCTTTTCTTTAAAGGCAAACTCCTTAGAAAACCAGGGCTGCTGCTTTGCAGAGATTGTTGTTGTGAAGGAGATGTTAACTAATTTTCTGTTTCACACTCTCCATCCCGCTGGCTGCTGTGCCGGGGGCTTCCTTGGGAAGGGAAGCTTGGCATGCAAGGTGGGCAGCACTGCCGGCTCAGCCCCTGGGTTCTGCCCAGCCTGGCTCCAGTGGGGCAGAATTCAGGGGTCGAGGGGTGCTAAGGCACCCCGCAGGAGATGAGGAGAGGACACTGGGGAAGAAGCTGCTCTGCCCATGTGAGATGCAAGGCTGCTGTGGAAAAGACCAGGTTCAAGCAGGGCTTGCTGTGGGCTGCCTCTGAAATGGCACTAATCCTAACTGAAATTTCCCACCTACTCTTATTTTTCAGCTGCTTTTTTTCCTCCCCTAGTTTCTTTGGAGTTCTCTTCTTGTTTTTTTGTCACGGGACATGTTTGGTCTGAATAGAGAAATGGGTTGGTTTGCTCTGTGAAGTTTGTACTGGTCTTTTCAGTCACTTCCACGTTAACCCCTCTGAGAGAAGATCAGACATAAAGACTACACTAATTCCACAGTAAAATACTTGTGAGACTGAAGGTCACAGCAAAACAAAACTGAAACTGCTGTCATTTGTGACTTAATGTTACAGACAAATGGCTGCTTAGTATGCAGGGTTTGTGGTGTTTTTAAAAAAGTTTTTTAAAACCAGCTTTTCAGTTACATTCACACACTGTAATTTTTAATAATTAATAGTCAGACCTGCCTTATCAGCCTTCTCTTTTAAAGTCCTTTTGCCTGGAAAAAGTGCAACTGTAATTATATGGTCAGTTTGTTGCCAATATTATGGGATTTTTAAATGATTAACCATCGTGTAGTAAGGGGTGATTAACAAAATAAATTGGAGCATTTGGCTTTGAATGAGGTTTTATCTCTAAGGGGAATATTGAATTGTTGGTGGTTTTTTTTTTTCCCCCTCTGCAAACTACAGAGCACAAAGTTTTGTGCAGAATAAATTCTAGGTGAACTTGTCCAGTGGTACAATTTGCTACGTATGTACCGTATTAATGTGACTGATCATGGTTGTAAGGTGCATAGAAAGGAAGAACTAGATGAATTGTTTAACTTCTTTGAAACATTTTTTTTTTCTGTTAGTAATATTTTTTAAGCTTTTCCATGTCTGTCCAGTTTAATTTAAAAAAATAACACTTAATCAAACTCTGCCATTTTGTGGTTCTCCTGTTCTGGTGTTATTTTCATGGGATTAGGGAATTGGCTGCAGTGAGATAGTTTAAGGACGGACAGAGAATTTGCACTTAAATGCCATGCATCCTAGTCTGAGTATGGAGTATGGAAATGTTCATTTTCAGAGATTGAAATGCTGTAAAATAACTTCTGAACTGGTTATTAAGGATGATTATCAAAGTTCAGTAGCATTTGGTTTGTGTATTTGGTGAAGCTCTAGCACTCAGGGCACAAGCCACGCAGGTCAGGTAGGAGAAGGAAGGTGATGCGCGGTTAGGTACTGCAGCCCTGCACAAACTCAGCATCTTCAGGCATCATTTGTGATGCTACAAAGAAATCCAAATGAGTAGTTAGATGGAAACTGAACTTCCTAGTGTTAATCTCTGGGCATTTTGAGTTGATGAGATGCCAGTCTCGGGGCGGGGCGCAGGGGGAGGATATGATTTCAGCTAGTTTGTAAAGAAATTTTTTTGCTGTTGCACATAAAATCCCTGTTTTAACCAGAGGCTTTTTTTTTTTTTTTTGTATAGCTCCTCAATGAGTTAATTTTATTTACAAATTGTTTAGTGGATCTCTTCCTACTTTCTAATTTCTTCTGATGCTGTTTGGAGGCTCTGCAGTCCCTGTTTTTGCCCATAGTAAAACCAGCAGTGAGTTTAAACAGAGCTGTGACCAGCACAGCCCTTGTCTTGGCCTGAACAAGGATTCACATTGTCCCCTCTTCAGAACTTCTGGCCACCAGGGAAGCAACCAGAGTGGGACAGGATCACCAAAAGCACTGTAAAACTTTAAAAAAAAAAAAAAAAAGACAGGAGTGGGGAAAGCAGGACTTTGGACTGAGGCAGGGAGCTTCCAGCGTGAGGCTTAATTTCTTCCTCCACCAGGTGAGCAGAGCAGAAGGCTGTGCCTGGGCAAGCCTTGGGCTAACAGTCAGCGCCGATTCAGAGTGAACCTGCATGATCTTTCAGGTCCCTTCCAACCCTGACAATTCTATGACTCTATGATGCTATTTGCAGTGACTGGGCTGTGACTGGCACGCAGGTACTGAGGCTGACGTTTGTGCCTTGCTCAGATAAATGAGAACTTGCAGAGTACCCTGGGAAAAAAAAAAAATGAAGATAATTTTAGGTGTGGTTCCATATCTCCCCCGTCCTCCCTCCCCCTCTTTTCCCTCCCCCCTCTTTTTTTAAAGCTTCTACCTATTTATATTAACATTTAAAATCTAATGCTTCTCAGGAATTATCTCCTTCACCACCGTTCTTTCAGCTCTGCCTTTGCCAAAGTGTAACAAATCGTAGAATCATAGATTTCATTTTTGTTGGAAAAGACCTTTAAGATGATAAAGTCCAACTATTAACCTAACCTTGCCAAGTCCACCTCTAAAACATGTCCCTAAGCACCACATCTACATGTCTTTTAAATACTTCCAGGGAGGATGACTCCACCACCTCCCTGACCAGCCTGTTCTAATTCCTGGCAACCCTTTCAGTGAAGAAATATTTCCTAATATCCAACCTAAACCTCCCCTGGTGCAACTTGAGGCAATTTCAAAATAAGTTATTTCATCCCAATTCTTCTTAATTTTGAGACTGTATCATAACTGCCAGTAATTGGAAACCTTTCTGCAACATGAAGAGAAAACCTAAAGTAACAGACACCAATTTTCCTTTGGTAGTTCAGTTTCTTACCTCTGAGCTCTGTCTCAAGCTGGGTGATGCAAATTAAGATCTTGCTGCTACTAGGACAGAGAGGTGGTGTTCCATCTCCTCCATGCAGTGCCTTGCACCGTTTGTGTTAGCTCTTGAGTTCTTCTGATTCAACTTGCTAACCCAGCAACAGCCCCAAAACTTCTTTCCAGCCATTTTATAAAACTAAATTATGTGATCAAAAAAGCATGAAGCCTACATGTGATGAGTGACAGGAGCTTGGATGATGAAGCAGATGCAGAGATGGGAGGAAAAACCACAATCTTTTTTTTCTTTTTTTTCCCCAGCAACAACGAAATCCTGTTGATAACCAGTCACGAGCGGTGTCCCTCAGGGCTCACTTTTGGGACCGGTCTTGTTTAATATCTTTATCAGTGCCCTGGATGAGGGGATCGAGTGCACCCTCAGTAAATGTGCAGATGACTTGAAATTAAGTGGGAGTGTCGATCTGCCAGAGGGTAGGAAGGCTCTGCAGAGGGGTCTGGCCAGGCTGGAGCAATGGGCTGAGGTCAGTGGGATGAGGTTTAACAAGGGCAAGTGCCAGGTCCTGCACTTGGGTCACAACAGCCCCAGGCAATGCTCCAGGCTTGGGGAGGAGTGGCTGGAAACTGCCTGGTGGAAAAGGACCTGGGGGTTTTGGTGGACAGTCAACTGAACATGAGCCAGCAGTGTGCCCAAGATGGCCAAGAAGGCCAATGGCATCCTAGCCTGGATTGGAAATGGTGTGGCCAGGAGGAGCAGGGAGGTGATCGTGCCCCTGGACTCGGCACTGGTGAGACCACACCTTGAGTACTGGGTCCAGTTTTGGGCACCACAGGATAAGAAGGACATGGAGGTGCTGGACCAGGTCCAGAGAAGGGCAACGAGGCTGGAGAGAGGGCTGGAAAACAGGCCTTGTGAGGAGTGGCTGAGGGAACTGGAGTGAGAGGAGACCTTATTGCTCTCCACAACTACCTCAAAGGAGGGTGTAGTGAGGTTGGTGTTGGTCTCCTCTCCCAAATTACTGATGAGAGGAAATGGCCTCAAGTTGTGCTAGGGGAGGTTTCAATTGGATATTAGGAATAATTTCTTCACTGAAAGAGTGGTGAGGCACTGGAACGGGCTGCCCCGGGAGATGCTGGAGTCATTATCCCTGGAGGTGCTCAGAAAACGAGTAGATGTAGCACTTGAGGCTGTGGTCTAGTGATTAGGGAAATGTTAGGAGGAAGGTTGGACTTGATCCTAGAGGTCCTCTCCAACCATAGTGATTCTATGATTGTAAATCTTCATTTGGCACAAATCACCTTGTGGATTCATTTTCTAGGAAGAGTCTTGAAGGGCGTTACCAAGGCCATTAATGTGGTTAAGAAACTCTGTTTTGTTATTCTAATTCTGTGGATAGACAAGATAGTTGGTGTTCCTTAACATCTGTTTTGTGAGCATCAAACAATATTAATTTCTATATTTATGTTCTTTATATGGCTGTTATAAATTCCTTTTGTTAGTTATGGGTATAGACAGTGGAGTTCCAGCCACATGATGTCCTGGTGATGTAATACTGGTGACCTCTGCCTTGCCTGCCATTATTCGGAGTGGAGAATTGACTCTGCTGCATCACTTTGGTGCCTGAGAGCAAGCAAGCAGGTTTGCTCCTCATACAGCTCTCTCTGGCAAAAGAGCAAAGAATGGCTGCTCCCTGCTCCCAGCCCACAGCACTGAGGTCCAGGGGGTGCCACCGCTGCCTTTGAAGTTCTTCCTGGATGCCCCACTCAGTGGCTTTGGCTGAGCTGGATCCTGGCACGTGACCTTCCTGTCCATTCAAACAGCATCAGAACTGATGGCAGCTGCTTTGGCAGTGCTGTGTGCCTAGAGTAAGGGTGACATTGTTATTGTGGTCCTCGTTGTGCTGATAGAGGGTGTAGAGAGTTCCCATCTGGATAGAGCTCAGAACCAGGAGTGTCCAAGTCAGCCCTGTTGGGCCAGGCGTGAGCGTGCCTGCAGGCTGTGTGCCTGTTTCAGTCTCCTCCTCAGCTGCCCGGGCGTTCCCTGGGGATCCCTTCAGCTCTTGGGGCTGAGGCATTCTGCAGCCCAGCTCCTGAGCCTGCCAGGTGCAAAACAAAAGTGTCAGAGGTTTGCTTCCCCGTCTTGCTGTATGCTTTCCCCAGCCAGGACTTTAGTCCATAGTTGGGTACCTCTCCTTGTCTCTTCACACTGTCCTCCTCCCCAGCTCTGCATTTCTCATTTCTTAAGCCTGTTTGGGGATGTCAGCCAGAAGGTGCAAACCCTGAACTGCCTGTCTGTGCAAGACATGGTGTGGAGGAGGTCCTGTAGACAGCAGGGTGAGTTGCTGTGTAGATCAGGGATTCCCAACGCCCACCGGCTTTGTGCTGCCTTAGCCTGAGCCTCTGACGCTTGGCACATGGTACGACTAAGGTCAGTAAAAGCCCCAGAAGGTAAGGAGGCGTCTCCTGAGCTCCATGCGCTGCGTGTACGTCACAGCTGGGTGGAGAAAGTAGGGTTGATGTGTGAATATCTGCATTCATCTTTGCCCTCTCCTAATGGTACAGTTGATGAGGCTGTAAACAATTGGGGTGAAACGGGGGCGGGGATTTGGTTGGTTGTTTTTAGTTGTGTGATTTTTTAGTGCTAGGAGCTGGGTGCTTTGTTGTTAGATGTTGTGATACTTTGATTTAATTTTTTTTTTCCTTAAAGAAATTCTGGCATAAATCTCTTGCTTCTATGCTAAGAAATTTTCCAAGGTCATTGTGTTATGTTTTATGACACATTTTCTCTTGCTCTGTCAGTCTCCCTTTTTTTTTTTTTTTTTTTTCCTTGTGACTGCCCCACCCAAAATTCCTCAAAGCTAAACAGTGAGGGCATGAAGCTGACTCATTGCCTGACTGAGAGAGAGTAACTGAGGTTCATTGGTGTCTTGGGGAGGGGAATACTAACACAGCTCTTTGTACCACTTCAATAGATGCAAGTGAATTCCCCAACGTAGCTTCAAGTACGTGTCAAAGGATAAGGAAGCCTGGCCTGTGCTTTTCCATCCAACAAAGATTAATTTCTGAGAGAATATGTAAACAGTTCTCGAAGTTTACGGTACTGGGTACTGGAAATAATATCTAACTTATTTGTCATGCTACGGTTATTTCGAAAAAACTTTTGTAATAAGGTACTCCTCCACTCAAACCAATATTATCTTCTTGGACAGCTGTTATTTTGCAAAATGATATTTAATTGGATTTTTTTTTTGGTGTGTAACTTCTGATGACCCTAATTATAAATTAGTGCTGAAGAGCTTTGGATTTGCCTAATGACCACTGTTATGAGATTGATGAGGGATCATCCAGTAGTCAAAATTTTGAAGAGTTTGCCAACCCTCTGTATTGCTTTTTGTGTTCTATGTTTGCTTCCTGGTGTGTTCCTGGAGCCTGCACTAGTAGACCTACCTCTAATCCCCATGGATTTGAATGGTTTAGGGTTGAGTTACACCTTTAGATCATAGGCTCTCTAATAGAAGTTGTGGAATAGTTTCTTCTCTGTCCTCCAGGGTAAATGATAAGAGTATTTTTGGTTACCATCTCTTAATTATGGAATTCATAGACCACCATAAGAAGACAATAGCAATATTGGGATTTTTAAAGGATACTGTCTGGAATATTGTTTGTAGTAGTGATATTTCTTAGCATTTGTGGGTGTTGTGTTTTACTGCACATGCTTGATCAGCAAAGAGAGGGTTTAGAAACGTAAGGCAGAAACAAAAGATTTGTGTGGTTGTGGTTTTTTTGTTTGGTTATTCATAGACCACCATAAGAAGACAATAGCAATATTGGGATTTTTAAAGGATACTGTCTGGAATATTGTTTGTAGTAGTGATATTTCTTAGCATTTGTGGGTGTTGTGTTTTACTGCACATGCTTGATCAGCAAAGAGAGGGTTTAGAAACGTAAGGCAGAAACAAAAGATTTGTGTGGTTGTGGTTTTTTTGTTTGGTTTTTTTTTTTGTTTTTTTTTTTTTTTACTTAGCTGGTAGAAGACTTTTTATTTTTTTCTAGAAATGAAATAGGAATTAGTAACACGCTAAGCTTTAAGTCTAGTTTGTAGCTTGTTAAGAGTTAATTTTTCTCTCTTGCTTTTAGTTGAAGCATCTTGTCATAATGGAGATGAAACAATGGGAACAATCGAGGCTGCTGAAGCACTTCTCAATATGGACTCCCCTGGTCCTATGTTGGATGAAAAAAGAATAAGTAAGTTTTTTATGATAGCAAATCCAGTCTGTGTTTGCCTTGTTAATTTGTGAAAGGAGGAGGGATTCAATGCAGCATGGTTGCATAGGAATTGGAAAGATTATTTGGCTTCCAGGTAGCCTCTACATACATCGTTTGAATACTGAATGAAGGATTTACTTGCCATGCCAGAGTTGAACAGGCAAGGAAAAAATCAAAAACTGCAGCAGGAAAGTGTGAGTGGAGTTGGGTGGTTTAGATTGCTGTGATTTGTTTGGCTGACAGGGAATTAGTCTGTTTATGTTGCCAAGATAAAATAATATACACACACCTCTACAGATTGCCTTAAATATAAACACAAATCACCAAATAATTGTGCTTTTTAGGGGAGTAGATTATATAATTAAATTTACTAGTACTTCTGTGCGTCGGTACAGGCAGCACGGAGCAGCACGGAGTCCCCAGGCAGATGCAAAGAAGGAACCTTATTTACAAAATCCCGGCCTTTTTATGCTGTTAGTTGATCAGTAGTTTACATACTTCGTAGGCACAACAAACTCATTTTAACCAACCACCAAGCACCACGGTGCCAACACACAGCATGCCTCGCCTCCTCTATTCTAGCTGAGGCACTCTCCCAGAGCCCTTCTCCGCTTAGCCTGAGGTACAGGCCGGAGCCATGATTTTACCAGGCCTTCCCTTACAGAGCTGTACCTACCGGCTACACTTCTGCTTGTGTAAAATGTTGTTGGGGCATATATTACATTCTGAACTAGTCTTCTCTCCCATGAGGGTCTTGCGTGTCATGGTTCTCTTTTATACTGCGTTTAAATTCTTGCTGTACAAAATATCTTTTGAAAATCTTTGTGGCTGTGTGACAATATACCTATTGTCCCTTTCCCTTAAGCAACTATGTTTGGTGCAACTGAAGACGATGATATGGTGGCTCCTATTACACACGTGTCAGTCACACTTGATGGAATCCCTGAGGTGGTGGAAGTTCACCAAGCCCCAGACCCTTACGCTGAGTCACCAGAAACTCCAGAATTTGAACAACCAAAGAAGAAAAAAGGTAAGATGATACTTTGGAACAGCAGGGTGAAGTAGGAGAGCAGTGGGTGGCATGCTCACCTCCACTGTGGGTGTCTGGAACCATTGCGGGTGTCAGGTCAAAGTAATTTAGTGGGCTCAGCTAGGAAGAGTTTTCTTTCTAGATATGGTCAGCACAGACACTGGCGCTTTGATACTGATTTGGAGAGGCAGCAATGGTGGCTTATCCCCCAGGAAACATGGGACTCCACTTGTTCCTATTGATAGTTTCATCTTTAGAGTGGAATTGCAATAGAAGCTATAGAGCTTTGCTACTGTCAATCCTGAAGTACTTTAATTAGCTCTTATTTAGCTTCAACTGAAGACACTTGATCTGTTCAGTATATGAGATGAGGATGAGGAGGGTTTGTTTGATTTTCTTAAATATGAACAGTTTATTTTTTTTAATAGTTGCGCACTATAGTAAGCATTAGTCCCACTTGCAGTAGATGACATTTACAGTGTCCACTGAGTGATGTTCCGTTGCAGTTGGTGCTCTCCAAAGAGTGATGAAGTGCTGTTAGTCAGACCTTCTGCTCCTGTTTTCCCACCCTGCTTCAGCATGGACTCCATCTGAGGTCCTGAATCTGTTGTCCACAGTGGGAGAGAATCGCACAGTGCAGGCAGATGTAAGGTGTTGTTGCAACAAATTTTTTAAAAAGAAAAATAAGCCAAAAGAGTTATGTTTCTGGAACTAATCCTAGGGCTGAATCAGAGTATTAGGACTTTGACAGATTTCCCTGTGAAATAAAGTCTTCCAGAACAGGGCTTCTGCTTCCCATCCATACTCCTGCTGATTGCTGCTACTTGTGCTGCTACTTCCAAATGTTGGGAGTTATTATCTATGAGAGAGAGCATATCAGACTGTGGAGACCTTGGGGAAGCCTCCTGAGGCCTGTGTGTGTCACAAGGTCTGGCAGGGATGGGTGTGGGCTGGGAAGTCTTCCCGTAAGAAAGCTGAACTGAAACCTCTGTGGAGACCTTTACCAGCAGCTGCCCCGAGAATGCTGCTGGGGAAATTACTGTGCTGTGTGCGGTGCTCTGAGATAACCAACTGCAAGAGGAGTTTAAACAGTTGGGTTTTTATTTGTGCTGTTCTTCTTTTTAATGTTGGCTGCTATGCAGGTCAAAACAAGCAGCCACTGTCTGCCAGACATTTAACCTCTTTGGCTTGATGCTTTCATACCCTCTTTTGTGTTGCGCTTCTGCTTACTCCCACTCCTTCCTCCTCCCTAGCTGTAGGGTAGAGCACTAGTTGCTTCACAGCAAACGTGGTTGGTTTTTGACAGTTATCTGATAGAAAAAAAAATACTAGAAAAGATGAAGTTCAGACTTCATGAAGAAGGGAGTATGGTCTAAGTGACGCTGAAGTGTAACATCAAAATGTCCCGGGATTTGTAAGGCATTGGTGAACAACAGTTGCTACAAAATGTTATTAATTTTGTAGTGCAGTTTAGGATCATGTGCAGTGTGCGTGCGGGGTCTTTTGTTGTCTTGTGGCACCGCAAAGGACTGTGGTCATTTTGCCCTATCCATACCACTCATGATTTTATAGGCCTTTAGCATATATAACGCATCAGCTAAACTTGCAGGGTTGCACTGTGCAGAATGTTGCCAGCTAACTGAGCCAGAGTGGCACTGCCGAGCAGAGCTCTTCCATGAAAACGTTCTCCAGAAGTGATGGGGAGATTTCACTTCCTTTCCTTGTGGGTCTTGTTGCTGCACCAGGAGAGCTGTATCCACCCATCTGCTCAACTCCAAACCCATGTTCAGCGTGATGTTTGTACTCATGAATATCTGAGCACTGAGCTGCCAAACTGTGGATCAGAAAGACGGGAAAAACAAAGGGATGCCAGAGAAAGAAACTTGAAAATTTGCTAAACTAATGCCTTTAGTCCCATTTTTGCTCTGGGAGGTATCTGGCAGTAGGCGGTCACATAAGTTATATACTGTTTGTTACGTTTTCATGTACATTATATGTTTTTTAAACAAAACCCACTGAAAACAGTGCAAGAAAGTGTATTGAACTTTTCCTGGTGTGGTATAAAATGTTTAATCAGGATGAGCATCTCATTGTCTAAATATCACATTAATTTGTAGCATGAATTTCTAACCTGAAGTGGTTTTGCAACCATGGAAATAGGAAAGTGGAAATACCAACTATAAATTCAATTAGCTGTACAAAATTACGGTAGCTCCACACAGGCTTAGCTCTTGCACATTCTTCATCCTTCCTCTTTGTAAAATTCTCTCCTAAAAAGGAGTTTAGTGAGGTACTCTGAAAGGTAACAACGTCATACTCTATTGAACCAAAGGAGGAAGCGTGCTAATGCTTAGTGTGCTTTCAGAAAATATCTTCTTTTAAACCAAAGGAAAAATATCTTGTGTGTCTCTGTTAACTGTGTGTGTGATGGTATCAGCACCTGGAGATTATAGCTCAGCGTAGTCTAAAAGCATCACCTTAAGTATCTCTAGCCTAGATACAGAGCAGCAACATCAATACCTTTCCATAGAGTTTCACATTCTTCACTGATTCCTGATTTTGGATGGGTTTCTGGTAGAGAATTGCCCAAACAGGATGTCTTGAAGTTGTCTAGACTGAAGTAAGAGACCTTAGAATTGCTGTACAAGTAGTATTCATTTTTGGTAGCCTAGGTTATCGCTAATCAGAAGTGCATAAATTATATGTGTTCAGTACTTGGGTTTCCTGAAGTTGACTGGCAGTACCTCAATCATGACCTAACTGAGCCCTCATCCACTTAATTTTCTTTTAAGATCTGACCTCATTTGAACACAAGGTAATTAATGGCATCAAAATAAGACTCCCCACTCCTTAATGGCTTATATTTACACCTGTACAAGAGGGGAGACAAGACGAGCACCCAACCCAACAGTCTTCTCATAACACAACTCTAAGGGAGAAAAGCCATTAGCCAAACCTATCCTGAGGGACTTCTTTTGCAGTAGAAGCTGTTCTATACAAGAGTGACTTCATCTAGACATTTTTAGTGAAAACAGACATTTCTGGAAACAATGGTGAGTGGAACAAAACTGCTAAAAATATACTCCAGTAGTTCTTTATCCTTTCATATGATGAGATATGAAAGAAAAACATGTGAGATTTCATCCCTCCCTTCTTCATTCAAACAAATCAAGGAAGATATCACTGGCCAAGGTGATGGCTAAAGTTTGTCCCATCCTCAGTCATGAATCCAGGCAGAATAGAAGCCAGAGAATTAGAGGATTCCAGGTGTTACTAGTTTCCTCATTGTAGCTCTCTCAACTAGTTATCCCTTGTGGTGGATAATCCACCGTGCAATGGATAAGATCCTTGCAGGGGATGAGAACTAATAAAAGAATAGGTTTTATATTGAAAAATACTTCAGCATGACTTATATTTTTTACTTCAACTATGTTTAGGTAGTTGATTTCTCAACATTTTCAAATGAGTGCTCTTCATTGTTGTCATCAGTTGTAACTAGCTTCCTTTCAGTCTTCCTCACCAGATAGAGCCGCCACACTTACCACTTTAAAATTCGCTGTTTTCTCAGAGCCCGTTACCGGTTCTGCTGGTCTCAACAAACAAACAGGTGACTTCCCTTCACCTGTAGCCAATGTTGAGAAAGGTGTAAAAGGCAATAGGACTGAAAAATGTGTTCTTCACGTGACAGTGTAGTTTGCTGCTGTCAGTGGAGACTTCTAATCTACTAAACAATCAGACAATCTTGTTTTATCCCTATATTCCATTTTGGTGATCAGTGAGCAAGATAGTGCTCTGTATTTTGTCTGGCTTTTACTTTTTAAACTCTTGACTGCTTCTTGTCATTTTATATGCTCTGACAAGTACCCAAAAAGGCACAGAATTTTCCAAGGTACGTGGGCTTCAAAAAAATGAGCATAAACTTTACTAGAAGTATGCTAAGAGCGTAGGGAGTACAATCCCACTGTAGAAATTGAAGAAGTTCAGCATAGAACTGAGCTCCTAACTTACTAGAAATTGAGTCTTTTCTGACTTGGGGAAACAAATCTCTTCCCTTTTTAGGTCCTTGTTCTTTTTTATATAATTCTTTTTTTTAAGTTGCAGTTGACTTATTGGTGGTTTATTTCAGGGAAGAAGCCAAAACCGTCTCGTCCTGAGTCGCCTACTACAACTCCAAACATATCTGTGAAAAAGAAAAATAAAGATGGGAAGGGTAAGTCAAAGAGTTGTCACTGAAGCTTTTAAAAGACCATTTTTTCTGAGCAACCTGTAAAAAAAAAAAAAAAAAAAAAAAATCACTAGCTCCCTTGTGATGTAAAACCAGGTCTTATGCCCAGGGGTGGTTAACATCTCACCCTAAAGCAAATAAGAAATTAGTCCACGAGATTTCTTGGTGAAATACCCAGTTCCCAGGGAGAACAACATATTTGTCACTTCAGTTGCAAGGGTTCTTGGAAACTCTTCAACCCCCTGCAGAGGCTGCTGCATTTTGAGTGAAGGCTTGGGGAGCACTTTGCATTGTATTAGTGCTTCTCGGGCTGTGGTTATTTTCACAGATGATCTTTGAAAATGTTTTCCATCTGTGTCTGTCTAATTGTGCATGAGGAGCTAATCGAGGCTGCCAGTTGGCAGCAGGAAGTACCAAGCCCTGAATTTTGAGGAAAGTCATAACGCAGCTTGGAAGACTTGGGCAGAAAACTTGGGGCTTTGATACTTCTTTCATTCCTTTTTGTGTGTAAGAGGAAGAAAGACAATAAATAGCACATAGCTGATACAATAAATCATTTCCTTCAGACTGAACTGTTCCGTAGTGCCTGTCGGTTTTGTCAACAGCTCCATTGCTTTGCTGTTGGGTCCAGGACCCACAGCTGTGCCCAGGCTGGCATTTGAATGGCAGCCTGATGCTCTGGCCCCACTAAATTCTGCTGGGCTCAGAGGGAGCTGGAGATGAGCCTCCCCTGTGTCCCCACAAGTGCCTCCACACATGCCTAGGGACTGATGTGTTGGCATGCATGCAATTCTTGCCAGGACAGAAGTCTAGCCAAACCTGGAAGGTGAGGGCTTAAGAATGTCAGACTCTCTTGAAATCAGAAGAACTCCCATGCTGACACATAAATATGTTTTTCTTTCTTCAGAAGAGGGATTTTCTGCAGGAACAGGCAAAAAGAACCTGTTGGCAAGTGATAAATATGTAACAGGCTAATGCCAGCAATTTTGAGTATGCACTGAAACTGCTGCCTGTTATGAAAAGAGCTACAACAAAAGCTTTTTTTTTTTTTTTTTTATTGATGTAAAGGGAATATTAATGTAACTGACCATGGCAGGGAAGCAGCTAGAAAATCATGAAGAGTTTTGTCTCTCAGTATCTACAGCGTTGAGCTAGGGGGAGCATGCGTGCTGAAATACCAAGCCCTCTGTATAATTCTTTGCATGGAGATGTATGGGGAAAACTGAGTTTTTGACATATTTCTTGTACTGTGACTCAGAGTAGGTTAACAAGTCTGCCTGTGAGTAAAGCAAGTATGCTTTTCACAGTCAGTCCTCCTCCCAGTGATTTTCAATGGCTAAGCAATGATAAATTTTCCTATTGTCTTGATGCAGCTGTGCATTTTTAGTGTAGACTACACCAAAAGCACCCTGGGTTGTATGGTAAGTGGCTGGGAGTACTCTCACTGCTGGCCGACCTTGTGTCTTGCCTGAACAGTTTTACCAGGTATCCGAGGGCTGGGTTAGTTGCAAGGGCAGTGGTTTTTCTTTAGGGATGCTCACTTTTGAAGTTTCTGCCTCTTGAAGGAGCTGCTAACATTTTGTACTGCCCATGCTGAAGACTTTGCTGAGTATTTTCAAAATATAGATTATAATACAGTTGGAGTTTTATAATACAATATGGGAGTTTTAATTTGTAAGACACCTCCTCTTGTTGAAAAAAGTTCAGACAGGTGGTTATTAAAGTTTAAAAAACTGTCAGGTGAAATTGAAGCTAACAAAAGAGATCCTGTCACCTTGTGATGTGGTGGGCATCATTTTTTGTGAAAATTCAGAAATCTGTGTGCACTGTCCTTGCTGTATTTTTGCACAGCTACTTGTGGGAGGTGATACTTTGATATAAAGTTTTTTTTATTCCATTCTCAGACTAACAGCATGTCACGAAGAAGCCTATGTGCAGGTTCAAGTGCCCAAATGCACATCAGACACCAAAAGCCTTAAAATAAGCAGGAAAAAGGTCTCATTAGTTATACGATTTTAGACTCCTTAAATGTGCTTTTAGAAAGAAAAACAAATGCCAATTTTGTAGTAGTTTTAAGTATTCACACTCTGTGGGTTTAATACTGTTTCTTTATATGTGGTAAGCACTGAAAAGATGTGATGGATTTCCATATAAAAGTTTGTGCCTGCTTGTTTTTAAAATGAAATTTGAGTGTTGTCTGCCAGCAAATGCAGTCACTTACTGAATTTAAAAAAAAAAAATATCTTTCTGAAGCTTATTCTTGAAGGTTTCACTACCTCAGCATATGCCACTGATTGCCCCATAAAATCTAATTGTTAAAAGTAAGTATTTTGTTTAGCATTTTAAAAGATTATAACATTCGCCACAGTTGAACAAAGTAGTTAAGCAAGGGTTTAATTTCCAGCATTTTCAGAGGATGGACCTGAACATGTTCCTATTTGAGGTACAGTGGTGGTGGCTGCTTCTGTAACTGGATTAGGCAGGAGGGCAGTGAACACATGGGTGAGGAACGCTGTCTGTTGTTGGTGGTCAGAACAGGGTGGCTGTAGGTTTGACTAGTACTCGCTTCTGGGTTACAGAGAGTGGCTTGGGTGTTTGGGCACCCAGAGTAAAATGACTGACAAGAATCCCCTTCTGTGCCTTTTCATCACTATTTCCTAGTTTTGATGATATATTACAGTGTATTCCTAAAGGTACTTAGGTACTTTCTTAGTTTTCAGATTATTTAAGTCATTAATAAAATATGATCAACTAATTCTTTTTTTTTTTTTTTTCATTCTGTCCCCCAAAATATTTTTATTTTAGGAAATACAATTTATCTCTGGGAGTTCTTACTAGCACTGCTCCAGGACAAAGCTACGTGTCCTAAATATATCAAATGGACTCAAAGAGAGAAGGGCATTTTCAAACTGGTAGATTCCAAGGCTGTGTCCAGGTTGTGGGGAAAACACAAAAACAAACCTGACATGAATTATGAAACAATGGGTAGAGCTCTCAGGTATGTACATTTTTAATAATATGATGGTTTTGTTGCCTCAGTGTTTGCATATATTAAATGGCTCATCTAATTTGGGTAACAACAGAGGGGAGTTAATATTCTATCAATTTAGGACGTGAAGAAGTTATTTAAACAAAATAAATAATCTAAGTAAAAGTATAACCCTTACTAACCTCAACCGCAAATCAGTCACCTTCAGTCACGGCTTAGACATCTTCAGTGCTGCTGCAAAAAGTGCATCTTCAGAGTCAGCTGCAGGCAAAGAGACTGAAGATTCTAAGCTGCACAAGCCTTTTACATAAAATTTTAATATCTTTCATGCAATAAATCCTGAATTCAGGTGTATTAATTGAAATAATTTTTACTTGTTGCAAATGATCCTGTTCCCAGTGGAAGACAGAGTTGTAAAATTCAGGTCTGGTTGCAATTCTCTGAACTTGCATGTAGAGACAGTTTTAAAACACTTTATCATGAGCCTCTGCCTGTCAGGCTGGTATTTTTCTCATGAAAATGAGTGACTGTGCAAAATCCACGAATTTCCAGTCTTACTTGCTGATGGATGATTGTCTGAGCACCTGTGTTTCTTTAAATTTCTTTTCACCCCTCACCTTGGTGTGCATAATTTCATATGGTCATTTTAATTTGTAAATATAACAGAGGTAGTACTCTGCTGTCCTAGTCCCTTTGCTTTGTTGTAGCTAAAACGTCTGCCTGTGCTCACTGGTGAATAAGCATGAATTCAGGTAACTGAGACAACTGTATGAGGCAGGAGGAGAGTTACAAGTTTCATGCAACTTTTTAAAGAGTATGTGAGTTGATAGCAAAGTTGCCAAGTCACGGAGGAGTTCTCTGGCTTCTCAGAGTTATCTGAGGGTGAAATTCAAAGGTGACAAGAAATACCAGTAAAGTGAAGTTGTTTGCTAAAAAAAAAAAAAAAAAGCAAGGCTATTAAATTGGCCACTCCTTTATCATGAAGAAACTAGGCACTTAAAATTATTGCTGGTCTTATTTTCTAGGGGTCTTGTTGCTTTTTTTGTTGTCGTTTGTTTGTTTGTTTTAAAAAAAACACTGTGTAACTTGGTGTGTGTATGCTTTAAACAGATACTATTACCAAAGAGGAATACTGGCTAAAGTAGAAGGTCAGCGCTTAGTGTACCAATTCAAAGATATGCCAAAAGATCTCGTCTATATAGACGATGAAGATGCAAGCCCCAGCACTGAATCATCAGAGTCATCTCTGCTCTCAACTCCTGTGGCCAATAGAAACCAGTCGAGCAGATCTAGAGCATCCGCAAACACGGGAACAAAGGGAGGATCAACCACAGTGCTAAAAACAGGAAGCTCAAAGCCTGCTAAGCTGAAGGAGCATGCAGAAGTTGCACAGCAGCAGACGCCTGCCTTAACCTCAGAAGTTTTGAGGACAATGCAATCTCCACAGCCAGTGTATCCCACTCAGCTTTTTCGGACACTTCACGTAATGCAGCCGTTGCAGCCCCTCCCGGAAGGACACGGGGCTGTCGCCAGCAGTGTTCCAGAGGATACGTTAAGTCCCTCCGTTCAGAGCATAAGGTAAGAGAATATACAGAAAGTAAACGTATCAATAATAATAAATCCATTGGATGACAGCTAGATGGATTCTTTGTTGTGCTTCAGAATACGCTTGTCTCCCAGTTTGGTTGAAGTGAAATGGTGCCTTTGGCTGGCCCTAGGAACTGGGAGCTAGTACAGATACTGCAGTGTGTACGCTCCTGAGTGCTCCGCCTTTGGAGGGCAGCACATCTTCCCTGCAGTATTAGGCCTGATGCTAGTCCTGCACAGAGAGAGAATACACAACTTCTCTGTAAAATTAGTATCATCAGTTCTGTCCCACAGCAGAGGCAGTAGTTTCCTGGCTTGACTGTTCTACTGACTGTTTGGTGGCTTTGGTTTTGAATTATACATGGTGTGTCTACATGTCCCCTTCAAAAAGATTCTCCCTCTTCCTTCTTAAGACTTTTTTGCTGTCTCTTTTATCTTTTGAATTGTCCCCAGTTACAAGGGGAAGCTCCGTGTCAGCCACTCCGGCATTTTGATGCGGTTACAAGAGCATATTCTTTTGATTTTAGAAAACAATTAACAGCATAACCTCATGGGAGCTGTGTATCTGCAGACTATTTTGGGAGACTTTCCTGCTCCCACGCTTAATTTGTAAGTTGACTGGCTGACACTACACAGTGTTTAAGCATCATCACGGGTCCTTTGCATCTACCTGTTAGTAGCAGCATCCTAACTGAAGAGGCTTTAAAAGCAGTCACTTAAGCCTGGTTTTACCCTAGCCTGAGACATCCCCTGATGGAGCTTGTTCATCTCCACTACAGAAGACATAAACCAAATAAAAGTTCTTGTGATCTAGGCCCTCACGGAAATGTCAGAGCTGTATATGGCAATTCTTGACCTTAAGGCTCAGGAAAGTTTCAGGATTTAATTCAGAAGCTGCACATTCTTAATGAATTATGAACATTGCTTTTTCTTTTTTTTTTTTTAGATTTTCTGTGTTAACAGCACTGTTACAATTGTTATCATTCAGTGCTCCAAAATAGCAAGAATGCTGTTTCCTGCTCCCTTCCTCTATTCTTTTCTTTGAAAATTAGATCCAGAACCACCAATAGGTCTGGAGTGGTATTATCTGGGGTTAACCATGCAATTTTTGCCAGAGTAATTAATGACACTAATGAGACCAAATAATTTCCTTTTCAAAGAAGGTTTTGCTCTCTCATCTCTACTACTAGAGGGAAGCTGTAAAAGCTAGTCAGTTTTTAAAACTCCACTTATATAAAAGGAAAATACACAATAACAATAAGAGCTAGGTTTTTCAGAAGAACTGAAAGAAAAGCTGAAATTGTTTAGATCTGCCTCCAGTGACTGATACAATACAATCAATAAGAAACAACCAAGTAGTTGAGGAAGATGAAGATTTCTATGTAGGAAATGACAATCCAAGACTGTAGCTTCAATCAAGAAAAAATGTTATAATATCTCTTCTTTCTTTGGGGTAAAAGACCCCCAAACTTGAAAATTTTTCCTGGACTTCCTAGCTTGAATCATGTTTTTCTTTTAATTTCATTAAAAATTATACAATGTTTTAATTCATACTGCAATATGAAAAATGCATACTGAAAAGAGCAATTCACTGGTTACTAAAGGGCTGCAAGGGAATAAATACATTAGGCCATGAAAGCAAAAATTTTTTGTAGTTAATGGTAGGCATTGTAAAGCAAGCTGGAAAGAGTTACAATTTTAAAGTAGACAATATATTTTCATTTGTCTTTTAATTCTAAAATGCATGATTTGAAATCAAATTGTGTTTTGCTTATTGTTCTAAACAATGAGAATTAGTTTCAAGACGCACATGGGGAGGGAAGGATTATATTTTATCAAAAGTTGATGTGAAAGGTAATTATGAAGAATTTGGAAAAGAAACAAAACCAAAAAACCCAATGTTTTAGAATTCATTTAGAAAATAATAAAAATCTGCATCAAGGTGATGTCCTGTAAGGGTTTAAAAGTTTAGGGATGAAGCTACTCTATGTAGCACGATCCTATGATTTCAAGGTTGATGAAGGATTTAATTACTTCTGAAAGTTGACTAGGACAATATAGTGAAACAAGTACAGACATAATTGAAGGTATACAGTACCATCTAAGTCAGTAAAATACTATTTAATAAAACATTAGTGTGGGGAAAGTTCAGCAATTTGCCCAGTTAGGTAGCTCTAGGCTAGACCTACATTAGATTATATATCAAAGCCAATATTAATAGTATAGATTGTATAAAAAATGGTAACAAAACCCAGCAGTATCTCTAAGACTTAATAAGGCAGATGGGCAAGACATCCAGCCTAACATCCGGAGAACTGCTCAGTGACATGATGACACCCCTTTATTGCATTATGGTATTTCACAATCAGATCTTGCAATAAGCCTAGGGGACAAAAAGTAGTAGAGGAGGTACCTGTGTGAAGTTCAAATAAAGCAAAAGCCTTAAAGCCTCAGAGTTCTGTATTGTATTGGTTCTAATCTGCTGTCTGTAACTTAAAACATTATACCACAAAGTCTTCAATTATACTTTCCCTA